GAAGTCAGAGGGCATATCTCCAACATCCTTTTTTTTTTTTCTGTGCCAATTCAGGGTTTTTCATAGTTTCCTATAAATTTTGGGATTGTTATACTTCTGTGAAAAATGTCATTGGTATTTTGAATGGGATCACACTGAATCAATAGACTACTTTGGGGAGCATGGACATCTTTACAATATTAATCCTTCCGATCCATGAGCATGGTATGTCTTTCCATTGATTTGCATTTTCTTAAATTTCTTTCATCAGTGTTTTTCAGAGTACAGTCTTTTAGCTCCTTGGTTAAATGTATTCCTAGGCATTTCATTCTTTCTGATACAATTGTAAATGGGATTGTTTTCTTAATCTCTTCCTGATAGCTACACAAACACAACAGATTCCTGAATATTAATTTTGTATCTTGCAACTTTATATATAGGTATGTTCCCTCTATAGCCACTTGAGAATTTTTTTATCATAAGTGAATGTTGAATTTTGTCAATTGCTTTTTGTCTATTGAGATGATCATATGACTTTTATCCTTCACTTTTATTCTTGATTTTGTTAATGTTGTGTATCATGTTTACTGATTTAGAGTATAGAACCATCCTTGTATCCCTGGAATAAGTCCCATTTTATCTTGGTGTATGATCCTTTTAATGTATTGAATTCAATTTGCTAATATTTTGTTGAAAATTTTTATATCTATGTCCATCAGGAATACTGGCCTATAATTTTCCTTTTCTTTCTTTCTTTTTCTCTTTCTTCTTTCTTTCTTTTTCTTTCTTTCTAGTATCTTTGTCATAGAAAAGTTTGGGAGTATTCCTTCCTCTTGAATTTTGTGGAATAGTTTTAAAAGTATAGGTATTTTTTCTTTAAATGTTTGGTAGAATTTACCTATGAAACCATCTGATCCTGAACTTTTTTTTGTTGGAGTGTTTTTTTAATTACTGATTCAATTCTGCTACTTCTATTCAGACTGTTCAGATTTTCTATTTTTTCCCTTGTTCAGGCTCAGAAGGTTGAATTTTTCTAGCAATTTATACATTTCTTCTAGGTGTTGAATTTGTTAGCATGGTATTCTTTTGATTCTTTGTATTTCTCTGGCATCACTTGTAACTTCTTTCATTTCCGATTTTATTTGGGCCCTCTGATTTTTTTCTTGATATGTCTGGCTACAGATTTATTAATTTTGTTTATCTTTTCAAAGAACCAGCTCTTAGCTTCATTACTCTCATTTTTTTAGTCTCTATTTCAACTCTAATTTTTATAATCTTCTTTCTTCTGCTCACTTTGGGCTTTGTTCTTTTTCTAGTTCCTTTAGGTGTAAAGTTAGAGTGCATATTTGGGATTTTCCTTGTTTTTTAAGGTAAGCCTGTATCACTAAAAATTTCTTTCTTAAAACTGCTTTTGCTGCATCCCAGGGATTTTAGAAAGTTTTGTTTCCATTTTCATTTATCTCAAGATATATATTTTTAATTTCTTCTTTGATCTTCTTGTTTAAATAGCATTTTGTATAGTCTCCACATTTGTGGTTTTTTTCCAGTCTTCTTGTAATTCTAGGTTCAATACATGTGGTCATAAAATATAGTTGATATGATTTATCTTCCTGAGTTTATTGAGACTTATTTTATGGCCTAACGTGATCATGGAAAATGTTCCATGTGCACTTGAACATGTATTCTGCAGTTTTGGGTAAAATGTTCTATAAATACCTATCAAGTCCGTCTTTTCTAATATGGGTCATTTAAGGTCACTGTTTTCTTGTTGATTTTCTGTCTGGATGACCTATCCATTGATGTAAATGGGGTAATAAAGTCATCTACTATTATTGTATTACTATCAATTTATATTGAATCAATGTCCTTTATGGCTGTTAATATTTATTATATTTACCTAAGTATTATTGAATGTGTAAATATTTACAAATGATAGATTTACAAGACTGACCATTTTATCATTATGTAATGCCTTTCTTGATCTGTTTTAACAATGTGTTTTAAAATCTATTTTGTCTGATATGAGTATTGCTAACTTAGCTTTCTTTTCATTTCTATTTGCATGGAATATATTTTTTGCCACCCCTTCACTTTCAGGCTGTATGTGTCTTTCGAACTATAGTCAGTCTCTTGTAGGCACAATATAAATAGGTCTTATTATGCATTCAGCCACCCTATATCTTTGGATTGGAGCAATTATACCATTTACACTTAAATTATTAAATATTTACTTATTACCATTTTGTAGTTCCCCTCCTTTCTTCTTCTTTTGGTTTCTTCCCTTGTGGTTTGCTGGTGTTATTTACTGTTACGTTGGAGTTCCTTTCTCTTCGTTTTCTGTGTACCTTTGTAGGTTTTTGGTTTGTCACTACCATTAAGTTCATATATGTCCATACATATAGTAGTGTATTTTAAGCTGATAGCACTTAAAGTTTGAATGCATTCTAAAAATGCCCTCGTTTTTGCCGTCATGGTTTATATCTGTTTTGTGTCCCCTAACTACACATTATAGTTGATTTTCTTGTCTTTTAACCTTCTTAATAATTTATTGCCTTTACTATATATTTGCTTTAATTATGCAATTTCTCTTTCATATATTTTTTATTTCTGGTTATGGACTTTATTTTTCTACTTAAAAAAGACCCTTTTGTATTTCTTATAAAGCCAGTGAGGAACTCCTTTAGTTTTTACTTACCTGGGAAACTTTCTCTCTTCTTCATTTCTGAATAACAACCTTTCCAGGTTGTAGGTTCCTTCCTTTTAGCATTTTGAATATTTGTATATACTGTCACTCTCTTCTGGCATATAAAGTTTCTGCTAAGAAATCAGCTAATAAATAGCCTTATGGGATTTCCTTTGTATATGACAATGTTTTGGTGTGGTTCTCTTTGGATTCCTTTTGTTTGTAACTCTCTGTGCTTACTGGACCTGGAAATCTGTTTCCTTGCCCAGGTTAGAGAAGTTCCCCCCTCCCCACCCCCGCCTCTTCTTCTGGGATACCCTGCAATACATAAATGTGAGTATGTCTGATATTATCTGAGATGTCCCTTAAACTATCCTCATTTTTAAAATTTATTTTTTCTTTTTGCTCTTCTGATTGGATGATTTCCACTGTGACCTTTAGGTCACTAATCTGTTCAATGTTATTTAATCTGCCTTTGATTTTCTCTAGTGTATTTTTCATTTCGGCTATTATAGCCTTCAGGTATGATTGGTTCTTTCTCCCCACCTCCCACAAGATCTGATTATTGTGTTTTCTCTTTGTTGAAGTTCCTCCTAATTTTGATGAGCATCCTTATCATTGTTACTTTGAATTCTTTATCAGGAAAAATTACTTACCTCTGTTGCATGAGGATTTTTACCTGGGGTTTTTCTTGTTCCTTCATTTGAAATATATTCTATCTTTTCATTTTGTTTGATTTTCTGTGTTTGTTACTATGAATTAGACAAAACAGCTCTCTTCACCTGGTATTGAAGGAGTGGCCTTGGGTAGAAACAACCTCTGTCTAGAATGCGTGTGCTGGGTGATTTTGGCAGGCTGGCTGGAGCTGTGGTGTCCTGGGTGCTGTCTAAGGAGGCCCAGGGTGTGGGCTGACCAAGGATGTAGCAGACATTTGCAGAGGCGGTCTGAGTGCAAGGCCCTGGGCGGCCACTGGCCAGAGCTGCAGCAGGTGCTGGCAGAGTGGACTGGGCAGCTGTGGAGGCATTACAAGTCAGCTAGAGTGCTTGGACGTAGCTCCCTCCCATGCTACTAGGTATAGGGGGATTGTAAACAAAGGCATTCACCGGTACCTCCGATTCCACAACGTTCCCACAGTTCCCCATCTGTTCAGGAAGCACCTTGGGGTAAGTAAATGGATTTCTTTCATATTATAGTCTTGGTACCCTTTAAATCAGTTTTACGCCCCCCCATATATATATGTGTGTGTGTGTGTGTGTGTGTATGTATATACACACACACTCTGAGTGGCCAGATTATTATGACCACCCCATCAGTACTTCATTGACACTTCCAAAATTACTGAATATTGAAAACTTCCTAAGCAAATACTCTCAAGGTTTTATTATTTGCATAACTAATTCACTTCATTGTACTGATGGGGTGGTCATAATAATCTGGCCACTCAGTGTGTGTGTGTATATATATATATATATACACACACAGTTATTATCTCTCCCTGAAAGTCACCCTGTTGGGGTAGGGTTCCCGTATCTCTGTCTTTCCTACCTTCTCTATGTTGTCCCTCTTTCATTTGTTGTGAAGAAGCTGTTCAGTTGGCCTTCAGATGTTCTTCAGGAGGAACTGCTCTATATGCAGGTGAGTTTGGGGTATTTCTAGGCCACCATCTTGTACCCCTCTTCATCCTGACCTTCTGAATGGCAGGATTTTCTCATCATTTTGTTGTTTACACCTGTCTAAACACTAAGTGTATTGAATCCTGAACCCAGACACATTCATTGAAAACTGTCATGTACCAAATTATATAATTATAGCAATTTAAATTTTTGGAAGATTTCTTAAACAAATAGTATTTTCCCCAGACTCAGATTATCTATTCAACTTTGCCGTTTGCGAGACTCATGTGATTAATTCAAAACTTAAATATTTTGAACACTATAAACCCTTCTGCAAGTGGATAATAATTAAATGTGGAGAGAGTATCAGGTATGTGTAGGAACAATAATCAACAGCCCGAAGGGTATATTTTAGTGGGAAAGGCTAAGTTTGGCCTTTTAAAGATAAATTTATAGTAGAGCCTATAAAAAACCAGTAATGATGGCTAAGAGACACATTTTTCTAGAGCTGATACACAGAAGATCAATTCTACAGTATTAAATAACTAATACAGTAGACTATAAAACACACAGGAAGAAAGATTAGAGCAAAGTCCAGAGATTTCAGTGGAAGGCCTAGTTCTGCCACTGATTCTTTGTGACACCAAGTCCATTTCTTCAGAACAAATGTTGCTAGAGAGTGTATTCTTCTAAGGTTTACCATTAAAAGCACCATCAAAAATAAATGAAAATGCTTAAGATGCTTGAATACATTTTATTGGCTGCTTTAATAGCATTTTTAATAGCAAAAATGTGTTTACATTATAATAGCTTACAACCATCTTTTTTCAATATAAATTACACTGAGGTCGTGTAAGTCTTAGCATTTTAGATTCCTCACCTCTGTGACATACAATAAAACGTCCCAGATACTATCTGGCTGATTCTCACAGAGGTATGCACAAATGTACTGGTCAAGTACAACTTCTTTAACCACCTTGGGTGGGAATTATTTTTTCATGAAACATTAATGCAATATAGACATGATTTTGAAAATTAAGCAAAGGAATTGATTCTCACTTTTCTCTAAATACAACTTTTCTCTTAAGCTACAATATATTTATACAAATTATACAAACGACTAAGTTTTCATTTCCATACCTTAACAATCCCATCTCTAGAAGCAGTTACAATGAAGCCCTGTGTTGTCTGGAACGTGGCAACATCTGTGATGATATCATGATGTCCCACAGGCAGAGACTCTGGGCCCCTCCGAGGGGTGTCATCACTAGGTCCTACCTTCTGCTTATTCTGAATTTCCTGTTTCATGATTAAAAGTCAAGGAGAAAGCCAGAAGTTAAAAGCCTATCCACATTCTACCTTTTGTAAGTGTTCTTGCTTTTGGGATATGTGTTGAAGCTAATGTCTCTTATGAAGTAGCCATGCTTTCACAAATACATGGAGGGAAAGGAGTAAAAAGAGTCCAACATGACATTCTAGGTTTCCAATCAGACTCCATGAGGAGCCACTTACAAATATGAAAAAATTATAAAAAAGCTAATCTGTGCATATTATCTTTTCTCAAAATCAAAAGGGAAAGCATATAATTAAGAGGTATAAATGACCAGAATAGGGAAGTAAAAACACATCAGATGTTCTGCATTTCTAAAGCTCACTATTACTGATCATGAAGGAAGCACACTTTCATTTATTGGGCCTTACTGAGGCCCTTTCAGGTATTTATCTCATTTGAAGATTTTGTCTAAATCAAGAACACAAGCTTTAGAGTCCCAACATTTAGGTCTGAATCTCACCTTTGCTGCTTATTTACTAGCTGGATGATCTTAAGGAAAATAGTAAGACAAATTGATAAGGAAGTACCTTTAAGGAATGAGCAAGTTATAAAGTGCTTACTTCAAGTTGTATACTTATATATGCACTTTTGAAATGTTTACTTTCTCTTTGCTTTTCTGTATTTTAAAAATTAACATTTCTTAAACTTGGAGAAATACTGCCACACTCGGCCAAAGCCATTTACTTTAATCAATGCAATGTTTATGAAAAGCATTTTTATACCTACAAAAGTTGAAGGAAAAGAGACTGCTTGTACCTGGACGACTTCGGTGCCTTCAATTATTTTCCTGTAGTAGGACACTGATGGAGAACTAGTACTTCCTGCAACAACATAGGACCTCTCTGGGTAAGCCAAGTCCCAAAACCTAGGGAAAAGGAAACGAATGGTGATAATCTTTGAAGGAGAAGGGGAGGAACTAATATTGGCTTAGATTTATCAACTTACTTTCTTTTGCATTAGGAAAGGAGATTTTTCTAGAACTGTATAAAATTAGTTACAAATGAAGTATAGCTAACCTTGCAAGATGTGGATGACTTTAAACAATACTGTAGTGCTAAAATCCTATGTAATAAAAGGCTAATATGCAAATAGACCAAACGGCAGAACAACCAGTCGCTACAACATGCGCTGACCACCAGGGGGCATGTGTGGAACATGGTGGGCACTGGCCGTGGCAGGATGGTGGAGGTGAGTGGGGGCACCAGACCAAGGCGGGTCATCGGGGCGAGCCTCTCGTGGTTACTGAAAATTCTCTGCTCTTGTGCACTGCGGTCCCGCCCGGTGCTCGCACCCACTGCCAGTGCTGTCCCCGTAATAACCGCTTGTACCTGCTGCTGGTGCCCAATGCCGGTCCCAATCACTTGCTGCCATCAGCAGGTGCTAGCAGCAGCTGCCAGCCCTGATTGTCCCTGAGGGCTTCTCCACTTCCCCACGTTCCTGAAGGGAGACTGGGTCAGCAGCCACTTGCACCCCCTGATGGTGCCGGCCCCAATTGCTCTGCGCCATTAGCGGGTGCAAGCGGGGCTGGTAGTGGGTTGCCAGTAGACGGGAACACGGGCCACGGCAGGAAGATGGGCTGAGACCCACCCTTGTGCCTACTGCAGCCTCACGATCCACAGTTCCTTTCAACGTGCACAAATTCATGCACTGGGCCCCTAGTATATAATAAACCACACCCCAGTGTTAACTTTAGTATCCATCTGTATTTTATGAACCTTCCCCTTTTAACTGTTGCATAAAGTGTTCTTTATCAGATACTATACCTTATTTTCATGTCTGAACCAGCTGTCAGCAGAATAGGATTTCCATCTGCAGGACTACAGTAGATACCATGAACACTGTGAGGAGAAGGCTTAAAGGAAATAAATAAGTCAACTGTCAGGCTTTAAGAGACTGATTATGTTATGTCTTGTACATTTCTTTCTTTGGGACTTTAAAATGATTTGGCTTTGTATCATCCTAAATAAAGAGGCAAAGACTGTTTGTTCAGCTTCCTAAAATTTTCTATTTTGAATCAACAGGAGAGAAAAAAATCTTCCCTACCTTTCTTGGCAACATGGAAACAAAAGTGTATATGAGGGTCATGTTCCATTTTTTAAATGATCTAAACATCAATCTTGGCTTTTCCTATTTACCCCAGTTTTGTACTTGGGGTTCTAAAGAGATATCACAAACTTTATGGAGCTAGTAACCAAAACTCCCAACGAAACAGACACTAGTCAGCCCAAGGAAATGAAAAGCACCCACACAGCAATGGCCACCTAATACTTAAAACATAACCCAGAAGCCCAACAGATCATTTTTGGTAAAATGTCTGCAATTGTATTGGCCTTTATGGTAAAAACTGGAGTCAAACCTGTAACTCAGAAAGTGGTGGTGCACTACTGGCCCAGAGAGTGAATCTTCTGTCGCCTGTCTCCATGTCCCACATCGACACTTCATTGTTGCCCTGAACGGCTAAGGGAAACAAAGGCCAGCACCATTACTCAGGTAAGAACTCAGCACTCACATCTAGGTAGATAATCGAATTTAACCTGTACCCATTTCCATTTTTTCCCATCCTACAAAAAATGCTCACTAGCACTTTTAAATACCATTGTGACCCTGTCACACTAGAGTGCAAAGAGATGTTTTTAATAGCCTACCAGTACATATTTACTGAAGTCCAACAAAGTGGGGTGGAAAGTCAAATCATAGATTTGTCAGTCTGGAAGTAGAGAAAAAAAATATAGAGAACTACAAAGTTCCACCTGAACTCAAGAAAGGAAAAGACCACATCCAGGGGTAAGAATCTAGGCTGCCTCGTGGAGATGTCTACACCGGGACTGAAAGGACAAGGAAAGCTGGACAGATATAGGTGGCCTACAGGTCAATCATTTCAGGCAGAAAAAATGGAATGAGGAAAAACACAATTGGTCTGAGTGAAGCTCATTTGTGATAGGAGTGGGAGATGACAGTAGAAAGAGGAAAAGGTGAAGAAAGATTACAAAAAAGAAAACTGCAGGCCTGAGAGATATTTATCCTTCCAGGTTTTTGAGCAGGGGGAATAATAATACCCAGCCATCATATTAATTGAACCAACAATATTTACTGTGAGCTAGTCACTGTCTAGGCACGGATAAAAAGAAGGCAAACAATTTCAAATCATTCCCTGCTTCACAGCACCCTCATGCTAGTGGTGACAACAAACCACAAACATGCAAAGGCCCTGAGCAGGAAGGTGCTTTAATTCAAGGAAAGAACCAGGAAGCCAGTGTAGCTGAAGCAGACCGAGCATGGGAGATCGGTAGAAATGTGCAGTAGTCTGGTCACTTTCCACTCGCAGGTTGACCCACACGAACCACCAACAGGCTCCTGTGATTGCTGGCTTCTAGATGATTTGGGCCTGTGGTAAGGTCAATGGCACCTCAAAATAACCAGGTCCTAGTCCCAAGCCTATAGATGTTACTTTATATGGAAAAGTGACTCTACCGATGTGATTAGGACCTTGAGACAGGGATGGGTGGTTATCCTGGATTGTCCAGGTGAGCCCTAAATGCACACACAAGTGTCCTTATAAGAGGGAGGCAGATGGCACTAGCTTTGAGGATGGAAGGAGTCACAAGCCAAGGCATGTAGCTTTAAAAGCAGAAAAAGGCAAGGAAATGGATCCTTCCCTAGAGACTCCACAGGAAATGTGGCCCTACTACCACCTTGATTTTGGTTCAGCAAAACTCATTTCAAATTTCTGGGCTCCAAGACTGTTAGAGAATAAACATTGTTTTAAGCTACCAAGTTAGTGGTAATTTCCTACAGTACTCGTAGGACACTAATGCACACCTACACGGCCCCAGTAAGAGATCAAGGGATGGATGAAAGTCAAGTCAGTCACCTCAGGCTGGTTGTATCCCTCCCCTCAAATCAATACTCCTCTCAAGGGGGCCTTTTCTATTCAACTTCCTTCCAGTAACCATTCCCTTCCACCTTCCACTGCTAATCTGCTGGTACCAGCCCTGTTTTATTGCATGTTCTTTTAAAATGCCTCTATTCCCACACCTTTACATACAGTTCCTTTGGAAATAAATCCTCCTACCTTGGGCATGCCATCTGTTTCCTGTTGGAACCCTGACTGATAAAGGTCAGAGAGGCAAATCTCATAAAGCCGCAGGGAGGAGTTTGGCTGTTAGGATGAGAAGCCACTGGACGGTACTGAGCAGAAGAAAGGACAGCCTTAAGAGGTAAGGATAAAAGCAGGGAGTTACCAGGATACTGATGCACAGGGACAAGAGATTATGGTGGTTTAGACTCGGGAGAGAGTGCTGGAGACAGTAAAAAGGGGTCAGATTCTGAATATCTTTTAAGATAGAACAGATATGATTGGCTCATGGACTGAAGTGGCTAAAGGAAGAAGAATCAAGCACAACACAAGGCTTCTTTCTGAGCAGTGGGCATAAAAGAGCTGCCGTTTACTGAAGGAACACTGTAGGAAGAGCAGGCTGTCTCTGAGTTAGAGGAAGTGGTGAGGAACCTGGTAGAGAGGAAACAAGTGTTCAGTTTGGACATGTCAAGTTTAAATTAAGATGGCTATTCAACCTCTTAAGGGAGATTTTAAATAGACAAATATAAAAATTTGAATAGATTTGGTATTTAAATATTGCATAAGATCACAGAAGGAAACCAGTGTAGAAAGAGAAGCGGTTGAGACCAAAGACTAGAGCCCTGAGGCAGGCGACAATTTAAAAGTCAGAAGATGAGGGGGAACCAGCAAATCAACGAATAGGCGAACCAAGAGAGAGATGTCCTTGGAATCAGGTGGGTGAGTATTATAGAAAGAGGAAACAATCCACTGACCAAATGATAAGTCCAGTAAGAGGCGGGAGGAGTGATGGCCACTGAATTTGGCAGCATGGTGGCTGACAGCAGCAGCGTATGAGATTGACTGTACGTATGAGAAGGGACCAGAAAAAGCCTAGATTCAAGAGGACCAATGAGGAAGCATTAGAATAACAAGACCTATATTTATCAAGCACTATTTCTGCCCCAGGCTATATGTTTTATATGTGTTATCTCAAATTCTTACAATTCTGCTAGGTAAATTTTCAACCATATTTTACAGATGAGGAAAGTGAGTTTCAAAGACCTGCCCAAGTATTCATACAAGAAAATGTGAATGCTCAATGAGGGGAGGGTAGAAAAGAAAGCTTGTAAGAAGCACAGTAGAAACAGATCAATAACAAATGAAAACAAGGATGAATCAAGATTTCTAGGAAGATGGTGGCAGCTTTAACAAAACTAAGAGATATAAGAGAAAGAAAACAAAGGAAGGGGAAACAGCTTAAACAATAAGTATGAGTGGTAGTGAGATATCAATGGTGGGAACTTCAAAACAGAACAAAATCAAGTATTCTGTTCATACGTAAAAAACTCAAGTAAGAACATGAATCTTGGCAGCACTAAGAAAACCTCCAATGTACCTGCAATCACCCAGGACTGATGACGGGGGTGCATTGAGAGGCGTCTGATCCGGGCCCTGGAAGGATGGCAGTGACTGGAAATTGGCAACTGGAACCTCATGTCCCAACAAGCCATGGTACCACTGCTTGTACCTTAAAGGAAAAAAAACAACAACAAAAAAGCCCCAAAGATTACCATCTAATGATTAAAGCATATCAGGCTACATTTATACAAATGGTAAACAGCATTAATGTTGTATGAATTATTTTAAAACTTAGTCACTGAGAAAAAGACTGTTGTCATGAAGCTGTCTCTCAGTTTCAAACCACCTTTAAATAACAAAGATAAAAGTGTTTATCACAATACTACTACAGAAGTGTCTAACAAATGTAAATTGAAATGAATAATTCATTAATTACTGACACTGTCATTAATGGCCAAAGGCACACAAAACCCAGAAAATCTAGAGGAACCAAATTGAATTTGATACTCAAAATGTTCAGAAGCCTTAAATAACCAGAGATGTTTTACTATCATTCGATGATCATCTTACCAATCCATAGTGGCAAGCAGCTTTGTAGCTATCCCAGATTTCAATAATTTCCATGTGCCCTTTTCCACAAAACATTCTGGAGACAGTATGGGTGTCTAATGATAGCAGAAACTGGCATATGCTCCTGCACATCTGCCCACAACAAATCCCACAGACAATGCCGCCCACCCCAAAAGAACGTCTACCCTAACACTCAGCAGCTGATTTTGACAGAGGCACTGAACACATCATTAGATAGATCTTCAATTCCACAGGAGAGACTGGGGGGTGGGAAAAGACAAAAGGAACAGCGGGGTCCTTTTGTTTGTCACCCTGGCCCATACCAGGACAATGGCTCAAATGACCACAGGTAGTAATGGCTACCCCCTCAAAGCTGGCCTTGGTGCCTGAGAGAGAGCCACTGCCATTTGCTAATACACTAAGTATTGAATATCTATTCTTCTAGTCCTGGCATTACATCTTCCTGTACCTGTACATTTATTCACACAAAAGGCAAAAAATAATGCACTCCATATAAACTCTACAAATAGTAATAAAATGGCAGATGTTTCACAATCATAAATGCAAGTCAGGGAATCTAAAAACCAAAATTCAAACAGCAGATTATAATTCTTCTGAAAAAGTACCAAATGGGGAAAAGAAAAACGATGTAGTACCTTGTCAAAGAGCAGGTTCAAAGTTCTATGGAGGGGAAAAATGTGAAACTATAATATGGCAAAGAAGCAAGATCACATGGTACATCTCCAGCCTTCGAGGAAAAGGAGGCAGAAGGAATAATAAGGCAAGAAATCATTCAGCTCTTCTCCTGCACCAGGCACAGTAATAGATACTTTCACCTCATTAATAAATCCTCAAAGCAGCCCCCAAAAGGATTAGCCCCTTAAAGGACACTGAGACTTAGAGGAGTTAAGTAGTTTGCCTGAGGTTATTGGAATTTAAGAGTCTGCCTAAAATGAAATGCTCTCATTCATAAACCAAGCCTGCTGCTTCCCTGGCAGAATAAGAGAATGTCAGCCAATCTGATCTCTATAATGATTATAAAGAGGCTCATTTAAGAACAAAGAGAAAAAGGAAATTGTCTTATGCATTCAGATACATAATTTCACTCTTTCTAATCTGTTTTTTAATGAATAAAAAGTAAATTGCAAGTGCTTATAACATAATAATTATGAAAAGAAAAGATGGGAACAAAAGAGAAAAAGCTTTTACAAGGAGGCAATCCAGACATCAGTGGCATTCAAACCTCAGTCAAGGGTTTGAGAGTGAGCTTACCAATGCAAAGCCAGCACTGGTGGATGTCCACAGCAAAGGAAGTTATGAGGCCTGACTTCAGATCGTGCTTTAACGTCCACGCGTTGCTTGAAGACCTGAGGTCCCAGCCAACCAGAGAGCCATTCACAGTGGCATAGGCCAGAACGGACTGCGCCCCAGAGTTGAAGTGATGCATATCCACAACACAGCCATCCTCCTTGGGGTCTAGAATCCTAAAGAAATACACAAAACAAAAGGCCATACCTTTTCCAGTCTGAAAACATAGTACCAGTCTTCATTAAGATGAATTTATATTTTAATCATGGTCAAGACATGAAAACTGTGACCTATTAGAACAATGATAGCTGAGGCATTTTTAAAAATTATTTTAGACTTACAGAAAAGATCCAAAAACAGTACACAGAATTCCTGTATATCCTTCACCCAGCTTCCCCTATGTCAATACCTTACACAAAATTATAGAACTTTTATCAAAACTAAGAAATTAACATTGGTATAATACTAGTAAAGTGCCAAATATATTAGGGGTTCATCAGTTTTTCTAATAGTGTCTTTCAACTGTTCCAGGAGCCAACCCAAAATACCATATGGAATTTAAATGTCATTTCTCCTCAGTATTTCATTTTCTTTCATGACCTTTTGGAAGGCTACTAGTGGGTTATTTTATAGAATATCCTTCAATTTGGTTTACCTCATGTGTTCTCACAAATACACTAAGTTTATGCCTTATTGGGAAGGAGACCACAACAGTGACATGCCCTTCTCGGTGTATATTTAAGGGAGTACCTGCTACTCGTATGTATTATTGGTGATGTTAACCTTAATCATTTAGTTAAGGTGGTATCTTCCAGGATTTTCCACGGTACCTTGCTATTTTTCCATTTATAACTATAAGTAGAGGCCTGGTGCACAAATTTCTGCACCGGTGGGGTCCCTTGGCCTGGCAGGCGATTGGGGCTGATGGGGGCTGGCCAGCCAGGGAGGGACCGCAGGAGTGCTCCAGGGAGTGTCTGGCCCTCTCGCCCAGTCCCAATCGGCCAGACCCCAGCAGCAAGCTAACCTACCAGTCAGAGTGTCTGCCCCTTGGTGGTCAGTGCACGTCATAGCGACTGGTTGAGAGCAGTTGACCAAAAAGTCAGCCCATCAGTTGGATACTTAGCATATTAGGCTTTTATTATATAGGACTAGTCAATATTTAGGGGTAATGCCTGAGATGTTCTAATGGTGACTTTCTATTTCTTTCTTTCTGCATTTATAGATTAGAATTATTCTATACGAAAGAGTTGTCACTTCTATATTAATTTATTTGTTCACTTATATCAGTATGGACTCAAGGATATTTATATTATTATTTGAGTTATTACTCAATACTATTGTGATATTTTTTATTTAGATATAGTAAAATTCACTTTCTGTGATATACAGTTCTATGTGTAGCCATCCTATGCAAATATATATGCAAAACAATTTTTTAAATAATAAATTAATAGCCATTTATCTTCTACCACAGAACCATAGAGAATTTCACACCCCCAAAATTGTATTGTGCATTCTCTTTGTACTCAACCCAATCTCTTTTCCTCCTTATAATTCTGTTTTCCTAAATGCCATATAATTGGAAACATACAATATATAGCCTTTATGTCTGACTCCTTTCATTACAAAAAAGGATTTGAAGATTCATTGATGTTGTTGCATGAGTCAATAGTTTACTTTTGATTACTGATAATAAAAGTAATAAAATATTACTGAAACCTTTTTATTCCTTTTTATGTACTAGTCCATTGAATGGATATAACTGTGTGTTTTTTTAAGCTTAGGCATTTTTAACTACAAAGAATATCAAACTTACTGGCCAGCCTCCTTTATCAGTACATATGCTTTTGCACACACTAATTTAGTTTTCTCTCTTACATCGTGAGTCAGTCAGCAAACATTTTCTGTAAGGAGCCAGATAGTAAATATTTTAGGCTCTGCAAGTCACATACATCTGTACTACATGTCTTTATTTTGTTTTTTTTTACAACCCTTTAAAAATACAGAAATTATTCTTGGTTTATGGGCCATATTACAGGCTGTAGTTTGCCGACCAATCTGACTTAGATAAATAATTATATTCACAAACATTCTATTACAAACTATGTTCCCTCTAAAGCAATAATGAAAGTCCAAATGCCAAATAAAATGTGTAAAGGTGTCACAAATTCATGATAACAGTTGATCTGATTGAATGAAGCAAACAAAACAAAAAATAAAAATAAGAGGAGTCATGGAAAGGTTTCTTTGAAACACACTATTGTCAGGTACAGTGAAATCTAAATATCCTGGCACAACCTCCCAATCTAGGTAGTCAGTGTTTGTTTAGGGAAAAGACAGTGACATGCATACTGAAAAGCACTAAGAGCTGAGAGGGATTCATGCACAGACTGAGCATGTCAGTGTATGTGTCCTGCCAGCACAGTCACCACACAACACATTTTCCCAAAAGCTCTTTGTTACTTTACATGGAACTCAATAGGTATATTGCTGTACAGTCATCCCCTGCTGAAACCATTTTAAAGAAAACTGACCGATAACAGTTTTTTAGTTAAATGCCATATATAATATGTCCTAGACAAAAGCTGGCCAAATCTGTTTCATGAATGTGTCAAAAATAACACACTTTTAATACAAATAATAAGAACCTAAGTGATCCAACAAGCATCCTTTCTCTGCCTTAGCTACCTCAATGGGCATGACTTATTCTCCACTTAACTGTAAGCATCTGCTCATTCTGCTTTCTTCCCTATGGCCCACCACTTCTGGCGGCCCTGCCCTGCTTTGGCTGGCCAGCTTACACTTGGTCTCATCTCTTCCAGGCCTTTTTTCTTATTCCCCATAATATGGCACATTATCACACTGCATTGAAATCATCTGCTCATTGGTTTCTTCCTCCCATAGACTGTAGTTCCTTAGAGAGCAATAACTTATTTTGTCTTTGGAACCCTCAGTATGTAGCATACTGGTCAGTTGAAAAATTGCCCTCTGTTATCTTTAAATATCTTACTTGGCAAATATTTACTCTGTAGGCAATCACGATTTATAAGTAGTGAAGGAACTTCTTAAATAAAACCAGCCAGTATTTTGTTTTAAAATGATAAGCTAATCATCTGTAAAGCTACACTTCATGTTCCCATCAACTTCAGAGGTTTTAATACCAAGTGACAGATGACATTTGAGTTTTCTTTAATGAAGAATACTCATATTCTCAAAATCAGCTAGCCAGAGTTCTGCTTTTAGTAACTGAGAGATAAGATGTAACTGATAATTAGATTATTCAGATACATTCCAGACCAGAATGAGCCCAAAATTCAAAATTGCCCTTCTGATCTTTTGACAAGCTGGCAGAAAATAAAACATGCGACATAGTTTTCTAAAACTACACGTGATAAAGATTTGAGTTGGAAACATAACTGTATTTCACATGCTTAAAAATAGAAGTGCAATCCTCAGTTGATCCAAACTACATTGGACAGGGAGGGCTAAATTACCCTAGGGCTCTAAATGCAGTTAAAAAACCCCCACAAAAGATAGATACCTGCTTTGTAGAGGATGAATTTTAGGAGACTTAGGCAACTTAGAAGCCTCGATTCCAAGAAGCTGGACAGCACCATTATCAGACGCTATAGCCAAGTAGTGGGAACCCTGGCAGAAGGTGAGAGTCTTGACATGTCCTCCAATTCGGCTATATGTAAGAATAGATCTGCACACAAAAAAACACAAAACACTAGGATTGCATTTCTGAAAGGCCACAAGAGCATCATTATTGCTAATATTAAATAAATATCCATGACACTAACAAAAAAGTACTACTTTGAGGTCCATTACATCTCCTTGATCTCATAACAAAAACAAAAGTACTACTCAAAGGCACAAAATTGCCTTTTCTTCTGATAATTTCAAATGGCTATCCTGCCCTAGCTGGTTTGGCTCAGTGGATAGAGCGTCAGCCTGTGGACCAAAGGGTCCTGGGTTCAATTCCAGTCAAGGGCACATTCCTCGGTTGCAGGCTCTCCCGGCCCAGGCCCTAGTCAGGACTTGTGCAGGAGGCAATCAATCAATGTGTTTCTCTTACATTGATATTTATCTCTGTCCTTCCCTCTCTCTTCCACTCTCCCTAAAAACCAATGGAAAAATATCCTCGGATGTGGATTAAAAAAATAAAATAAAAAGGCTATCTTCACACACTTCTATCACAGAAACACTATTCATCCTTCTTTCCAATTGGAACTCCCATACTTGTGGTCCTGATGCTGATAAGAAAAGCACCAGAGATTCCCCACATCATTTTATGCACACAAGATTTGACTTTAATGTCTACCAGTTTTCTTTTCAGACCCAAATTAGACACAAAATATGAATATGGCAGAATTGATGGTAATGGGGAGCAGGGGGAAGGAATGAGGGTGGCAGAAAGACTGCATATTAAGGACATAACTATAGAGCAATACAAATCTAAAATACTTCTTATAATAATCACACTTATGAAAATCACATCATGTATATTTAAAGTTTTCAGTATTTCAAGCCATAAGCTATCTCTATTTTGACAATTAACAGTGAGGCAATGATAGTATGTGTTTCCTTGCATAGCCAGCCAGTCCATCATTTTTTTTAGTTTTCTCTTACTCACACTCCATCTAACCCATTGAGCAAATCAGATTGGTGCCACCACCAAAATATATTCAGAATCTGGTAATTTCCCATTATCTCCACCTCTTGCTTGAATTACTACTGTAAAGGCCTGTTTCTGTCCTGTTCCTTTTCAGTCTATTCTCAACAATCTAACTCAGATCACGTCTCTCCTCTGCTCGGAACCCTCCAAAGGTTCCCCATTCCCTCAGAGTAAAAGTCAAAGTCCTATACAACAGCCTATAAGGCCCTTTATACTCTGGCCCCTCTTGTTCCACTCTCTCATTCATTCTGCTCCAGGCACACAGACCTTCCTATTGGTCCTCAAACATGTCAAACATCTTTCTACCTCAGGGCCTTCGAAATCCCTGTTTCCTCTACCTAAAATGCTTCTCCCCCAGACATCCATATGTCTCTCTCCCTCATCTTTTTCATGTCTTTCCTCAAGTTATGTTTCTCTTTGTGAAGTATTCTCTGGCCAATTTATTTAAGATTCTACCCTACTGCATTCCCTATACCTTTTTCCTGCTATCATTTCCTCCATAACATTTTTTACCAACTAACATACTGTATGTTTTACTTACTGCTTATCGTCTATCCGCTCCCACAGAAAAGGTACTTTTGTCCATTTATCATTGCTGTATCCCTGGCACTAAGACAATGCCTATCACGCATAGTGTAAGCAATCAATCAATATGTTAACTGAATGAATGAATGGACTCTCCCCCAAGCATATTTTACCTGGTGGTAGTGGTCTTCCCCTCCATCTTTTGACTGTTCCAGATTTTTACTGTACCATCATTTGAACATGTTGCAAAAAGTGAGTGTTCATCAGAGACTCTAATTCGATTCACAGCAGATTTATGTTCATGAAGATGTGCAACTAGTAGCCCTTTAGGACGCCACCCTGAGGAAAAGCAAATGAAACGTTTATAAATACAATCTTTCCCT